AATTTAAAAATACCTTTTTATGCTTCTAATTTTCTTTATTTTGCATTCTTCTCTAGTTTAGGARCCTAATTTTCATTGTTTTTGTCTTATGCAACATTGCATCAATATTTCYTTGATTGTTTTGATATAAATAATCTGAAGGTAAAACTATGTGTGAGTGTGAGTATGCTCAGTGCTAGCCTGCCCTGGTGCTAGACAAAAGTATATAATTTAATGTATTTTGAATGGTTTTTGTAGGTGATGCATACATTGTAGTAAAATGAATTTTGCTTTTAAGAAATGTTCACCAGCTACTCCAGAACTTTATACTGTAGATYGACATATGTCTACATGTATCATATAGGAGTACGTAGTTGCTAAAAATATCTTAAGAACAATATTAGTTGTACTACAATGTATGCATCATTACATATYATTACAAAGTAATACATAATAATTTCATAAGAAAATGTAAATGCAGCCCTTCTCTAAACAATAGATTACTCATTTATGTCCATTTGTAGTTTAGAATTTTAAGGATATTATTAATTGCAGTTTTATAGATGAATGATGCTTTCTTAAAATTTTAATCCACATTAACTATTGAACTGAATTTCCCCTAAAAACCGTTCTCTTTTATTGGCTATTAAGCTCTGTAAATCTCTGCTAAGAATTACTTTGATGATCTTGGGATTTTTCAAGCTTAGTATTCTTATTTTCTTCCTAACTTCCTCTTCAGTGGAGTTTTTGGAGTGAAATATTTTGACAAGAGCCATTATAGTATAATTTATTATTTATGTTTTTATGTATACATAATTGCTTAATGCACAGTTAATCCTTTGTGGTTGTGGAAAATGCATCAACTGTTCCATGTCAAATTGTGTATTTTAGTCACACTATATCTARGAGTCTTGATTGTAGAGAGGAGAACCAATTTGAACAGTATACACTCAAAATAAAAGCATTGACCATCTCTTAAAATCTTTGAATTGTAGGGGTATTCAGGCCCCCTCACAAAATTTTTCTATGCTTTGTGAATCCATGGTTTAAAAATAAATTATAAAATATTTGGGATACTACACGCGCTATGATTGGTCGAAAACCATGTTTGATGAGAGTATCAAAACACGCTACCGTCATTTTTAATCTATCGCTCGCGCTCATTGGTCAGTTTGAATAAGACGGCACGTAGGGAGAATTTACTTAGACTTTGCTTTTTTTTGATCTTTTCGCGCGTTTGTTATTTTATAAAACAAATCAAAAACAGTTATTCCGTGTTTGATACTCTGATCAAAACACTTGGGATGTTGGGAGAACACTCGAGAAGCTGGAAACCACTCYGCTACGCGTCGTGGTTTCCTACGCTCCTCTCGTGTTCTCCCAACATCCCGCRTGTTTTGATCAGAGTATCAAACACGGAAAACTGTTTTTGATCTGTTAAATGTAAAACATGCAAGTCATTTTTAACGAAACATTTTCAACTTGCGGATACACGAAGCATAGAAATGAATTATTACAACATTAAAATTCTTTAATGAGAATGAACTAAAAATAACTCTTACAGCATTCAAGTAAATTATTCAGATTTATGTAGCATAATCACGCAACAACAACGAAATCTGTCAGTACTCTATTCATACCCACTTGAATAAATTAAAGACAAGTTGAATAAGGGTATCCACAATTTTGCCATGCAGCAGTTTGATTTGGATAATGAATGTGCATTGAATTATSTAATAGCCATGCAGTAATAGGTGATGTCCTTTGTGTTCCACCATTAGTGAAAATGARGTCCAGCTTGGGTTCACCATCATTCTGGATATGCGAGGATGTACATGGTCAGCAGCCAAGCCTGTGCTGAAATCACTGCAGGTGAGTTTTTAATGTAATGGGTATGGCAAAATATTGATAGACTGTAAGCTAAGTGGAGTTTTATATTCTTATGCCAGTATAGAATAAAAGGCAAATTCATTCTAMTTCAGGCTATAACTGAGCCCCTTTTGACATTAACTCCTATAAGTCAAAATCTGAAATCCAAATTGATTAGATCTTTTTGGAGATGCATGAGTGCTGTCAAAAGATTAGAAAACGAGGCATTTCCAGGCAAGATCTTACGTGTGTTATGGAAAACACATGCTAAAACTTTGAAATTATGTTAATTAAGGAATAATTTGAAGCTTTTCTTAGTTCACATGCAGGATTACCATATRATACAATTATGCACCATATAATTACTTACTATATTTATTCAAAACAAACCCATTTTTGAATCCACTCTGTTGAAGTTCATCCTTATTTGTATTAAGTATAAATACTYGGGTGATTATTGAAAATCTTGCACGCTGATTGGTTGAGAAACTCAGGTTTACACAYGATAATCACCTCCAGCGATAATCCAAAATGGCGGCCAGCTGCTTTGTTGCTGTTACCTAACTTTAAATGTGTCTTTTATCTTCTTTTTTTCCTTTTTTTTTGAAAGAATCACATGTGTATTTATGCTAAAACACAATTATCCACCTCAGGCTCAGTGAATATCGGGAATAATGACCTCAACTTTGTTTYGGTTATTATTCCCCGATATTCACTTCCCCTTCGGCGAATACATGTAATAATTGTTAAATATTCATGAATCTTTCAATCTCTTTCAATCCTTTTTGCTAACGTGTTTCAATTCAGTCAGAGTTTCTTCTTTTTAATCATAATACTACTTGTTGTTTACATGTCAGCTAACGATAGACTTCACAATTCAAACTTCTAGGTCAAACTTTGCAGACACAGTAGTCAATACTCTTTTAATCTTTGTTAAATAGTCATCTAGCCACATACAGTACATGTATGTTTGAACAACTTTCACATTTGAACATGAGGCAAAAAAAAMCCCACTTCATACCATTTCGATATATCACCATCCCGGGGGGTACTCCGCCAGGATTTGGGTAGGGGTGTTGYGCTGGGATTCTGAAAGGCGTGTCCCTGTTTATGACAAAAAAACTCAAATTTGTAGACCCTGTTTATGACAAAAGATATAATTAATTGCACTGAGTTCCTGTTTCAATTATCATGTCAGCTTGTGTATTTTTTTTTTTTGACAACCATAATAACCAGTTTTGGTCAATATGAAAGTAGAAACCCTGGATATGAATGGAAACTCAGGAAGAACTTGGAACTTGAGCGAAATTGCATACCCTGTTAAATATGACAAGAAGCTCGAAAAATCATACCCTGTTCAGTGGATCATTCCCGTATAGTCTATATATTGGAGTACCCCCCCCCAGGATCACCATATATACACAGTACCTAACAGGTACATGATTGTATGTATCTTGGTTTTAAGTTGTGTACATTCCAGGTGAATTATATTAATTCTTTATAACTCGACAGGAATCATTTCCAAGCAAGATTCAAGCTGTGTATATCATAAAACCTGAAGGATTTTGGGAAAGACACAAAACTACCTTAAAGACATCTAAACTGACCTTTGAGGTAAGTAAGGTACAGCAATGTATGCAACATTCATTACTCACATGGTAATCTCAAATTCGATTTACTTGCTTGTCAGTTGAGTTTGGTGTGACAAGTTTTAATAATTTGTTACRAAGTTTTGTCTGTGAATATACATGTTGTTGGGGGCAACTTCAAAAGTATTTAATCTTAAACTTAAAAACTTATATAATTTTACAACCACTGCTTCCAATACRGGGCTCTTCCATGAGATTCCCTCYACACACACTACCACTACATTCTATAGTTATGGCATWCAACACTCAACTCACATGTTGCTTTTTATGGAGGGAGGAAACTGAAGATCCCAAAGAAAACTCTCATGGCAAAGGAGAGAACAACGCATCAAACAAATTCAACTCACATATGATCCAGTCTGAGCCGGGGCTTGAACCTGGACTACAGTGGTGAGAGGTGAGCTCGGCAAACCACTACAGTACCACCTATCTATGGCACAACATTCACTGTCATCATTTGGTTAAAAATATTAAAAAATAACCTTAGAAAAATTACTTATTTTAAAAATTACAATCATTATTTCATTAAATAGTGCTTTCTAAGCAAGGAAGTATAGGCTTTCGCATTGCTTAACAACTTGTTTTATTCCAGAGATATTAATTTTTTCGAATGTGCAAATTAGGCAACTAATTGGTTCYAACTAATCACTTCATTGTGTTAAGATTCCAACAAAATAACAAAGGGAAAATAACTTTTCAAATATAAAGCAGTTTCCAATGCATTTATAATGTTCTGTATAACATTAGAGCAGTGAGCAGAGAGCAGGTGTTCAAGGTGTGCTACAGATGTTCAGTGGTACCTCTATTAAGTGGCCACCCTCGGGACCAAGCCAAGTGGCCRCTTAATAAATGTTGGCCGCTTATTAATGTAGGTAGTACAATGAAAAGTCATGAAACTCACCAGATAACCAAATAATGCTATTATTGATTGTGTATTAGCAATTTATGTCTATGATTATGACAACATAAATTGAATTAAATCATTTTGTAACTTGCTCTAGAAACTCTGAGAGAATTTTGTACTGTAATTTCTGCTGACACTACTGTAAAAATGCTTCTCAAAGAACCGCCACCGGATGTTTGAGTTGCAATAGTGGCTTGTAGGCTTGTCACAACAAAGATTAAAGAAAAATTTCCTGTTATTATCAATTGTCACAACTTTTTCTGTCACCAAAATGGTATTGAGAATCATTAATTAGTAGGATTTTGTGGCCACTTAAAAGAGGTAATAATAGCATTTGGACCGGAAAATGGTGGCCGCGCCCGCTTAATAGAGGTGGCCGTTGAATAGAGGTATATGTATTAAATATCGTTCTTGAGTGACAAATATTTTGGGACTTTGAAAAGTGGCCACTAAATAGAGGGTGGCCGCTTAATAGGTGGCCACTTAATAGAGGTACCACTGTAATTAAAAAGGATAGTGCGGAACTTTGAAAGTGTCTGACAGCAMTATTTTTGCAAGCTTTAGGGACAAGAAGATCAATTTTGTAAGCTAGCTTTAGTATCATAATATTGCAGTTTATGTTCACCTGTCTGTCATTATGAATAAAAGAGAAAGACGTTTTAGAAACTGTAACTGGTGCATCTCATATTGTAGWAGCAGCCTGTTAACAGAGCAGATCACATACTACAGTAGTAAATGTTAACAGTGCAGATCACATATTATCTCTAAAGGGGATAAAGGCTTGGGAGTAGTTATAATGGTCAAGACAGACCATATTAATCTCCTCTGCAAAGCCTAYGTAGAAGATAAAAGCAAGTTCAAGCCAGTAAGCTTAGAAAGACCCAAAACCAGAGTCCGTCCTTCAAAACACTACCATCCATTACTTCAAAAAGAAAAAKGGCTAACTGGAGCTATTGAAGAAAATTTTCCTAAGAATGTTGTTGAACTTATTCGTCCTAGAGGTTTAAGACTAGCACAACTTTATGGTCTTCCAAAGATGCACAAGAAGAAGTAAGCAATGCTTCCAATCCTTTCTGCCATTGGCAAATACAACTACCCCTTGGCTAAATGGCTTGATGATCAACTCCAAGTTCTATCTGCAACAACCATACAATCACAAACACGTTTGTCTTTGCTATAGACTTATGCAATCTTTGTATCAATGAGAATGACATTCTGGTTTCCTACGATGTGTTCCCTTTTTACAAATRCACCTCTTGACATCCTAGCTGATAAAGCCTTCTCCATCAATTGGTTCAACGAGATGCATGACATGAATATAACAATGTCCAATGTAATTAAATTACTAACAATAGCAACTAAGATMAACTTTTCCAATAATTTTTCAATTATTGATGGTGTGCTAAACTTAAGCAGGTAGATGAATGCTATCCTTCTATGAGCTTTACCATGGAGCTAGCATGTGACAACAAGTTGCCCTTCCTTGGCTTTGAAATCATCAAGAATGGCCTTCCTTGGCTTTGAAATCATCAAGAATGGCCTTCCTTGGCTTTGAAATTATCAAGAATGCCTGTAAACTTGATACTAAGGTTTACAGAAAGTCCACAAACACTGGGCTCTTCCTGCATTATCAAAGCCACTTGGATCACAGGTGTAAGAATCCCTGTTGAAAACCATGCTTCATTGTGCTTTTAKCATTGACAAATGATTTCTTCTATTAAATATATTTAGGCACTGCCTAAAAGCGGAGCTCCCGATACGCAAGTCACAGGGAGCCCAATTTGAATGAATTCACTCAACTCACCACCAA